CACACACACACACACACACACACACACATACACACACACGCATACACGCGCACACACACACTCAAACACACACACATCGATTGAGACACATAGTACAGCCACTTGTTACAGAAAAGCATGAACAAAATATATTGAAAGAAACATATTAAATGTCGGTCATTACTGAATAAAGCTGGCCATAAACAACGAATGCCTTTTTAGCACTGATCTGAATATTGATAAAGCAGTTGTTTCCTGCAGAATTTATGCATGTAATAAGTTCCACAGGGAGGGGCATAATGTGAAATCTCTCTCTCTCTCTCTCTCTCTCTCTCTCTCTCTCTCTCTCTCTCTCTCTCACTGTGATATGGATGTTGCTGTGGCAAGTTTAGCCGTTTCCATTGTTTTAAAGAAGAAAAGGAAGAGACACTTGTGTTTGGCATCGAACTGGAGTAGAATTTGATGGTGATGAAGAATTCATTTTTAAAATCAATTTTACTCTTCTTTTTAATCTCCAAGTACTCCGGCCTCAGGCCTGTGCCAAAATATCTGTCAGCAACAGATATTTGGGAAACCGCCTTGAGGCCTCGGATTCCCCCAAATGTTGGTTTGTGCGAGGCCAGCGCAGGCCACGTTCAGGCCAGGATGGCCAGCTTTATTTTGGACTGGTTTTAAATGTCTAATTTCGTCGATTTTAAAGGTTGACATAGTATGTATTCGACGACCATGTCGCAAATTTATGATGACGTTAATTTGTTGACACACTTTAAACAATGTGCAGCAACCTTATTCTGAATATGTGCTTGAACAGGGAAGCAGTTCAGATGCATAACACAGTAACTGAATACATACTGAATGCAGACGCTTAATTGAATATTATAATGTTTTCTACGAAAATACATAAAAAGTCACTATGTACTCAGACAAATAATTAAGTCTCCACCAGAAAAGTTGACTAGGCACATCCTTTGAAAACCCTTGTTTGTGATTTTCTTCAAAATGTTTCTACTTTTCAAGATTAGAATTTTCTTTTTTATAAACTCTCTTCAGCTATCTTCACTTCCTCCTTCCCTTCCAAACCACTTCTTTAATCAGAGGGTTTTGAAATAGAATCTCCTTCCAAATGAACTTATTTTGGTGTAAAGGCTCCAGTTCACTGACGGACCTGACCAGATTGAGATTGGTCACAGCTTGAGCAACCAAGGCCAGAGGCTCTGTATCAGGTTGGCTTATCTTCAACGACCGCTGCAGGCATGAGAACAGAAGGTTCTGAATACTTTCCACTGCCTTGGGGTTCTGGATATTCATCTCTGGTTCTGTGAAACCAAAAGGGAAGCAGAGAAACATGTGAGCAGAAATATGTTAGTTTTAGTAAGAGTTTTACGGCACTCACAATTTAACACAATTAGGTCATATGTGTGCTGAAGAGTAGAGGTGTTACTAGATTCTACTAGAGAGTATCAAAGAAAAGAAGGAGGCGAGATAAGGACAATAGATTTTTGAGTAGAAGAGAAGGACAAACAACATCAGAGCCCCCGTCAACCACACACGAGCCGTAGATAGAAAAAGAGAACAAAGGTCGAACAAATGCGAAAGATAAACACGCATGAGAAAACAAAGGGATGGTCATTGGAATTAATACAAAATGAAGGATAGAAGGTACAGGATCCCCCAAGCTTTTGCGAGCTATCAAAGTGTAGTAAAATAAAATTTTGGGAAAAAGACGCCTATATAATAAACGCCGTTTGGCACCGTTTTTGACAAAGAAATTTCGTTTTCAGCTAAATATAAGGAACATAGCACAGAAAATCAACATAACACAAAGTACTAGACTTATTTGTAAAGAAAAAGAAAACATTAGCCTCGGAAAGTTAAAATAATTTTTTTAAAATCTACCCC